ATCACAGATCGGTTTGGGTTGGAAGGGACCTTAAGGATCATCTGCTTCTTCCAGGGATGGGGCAGCCACAGCTTCTCTGGGCACCCTGTGCCAGCGCCTCAGCACCCTCACAGGGAAGAGCTTCTGCCTAAGAGCTCATCTCAGTCTCCCCTCTGGCAGGTTCAAGCCATTCCCCTTGGCCTGTCCCTACAGGCCCTTGTCCCAAGCCCCTCTCCAGGTTTCCTGCAGCCCCTTCAGGCACTGGAGCTGCTCTCAGGTCTCCCCTTCAGGAGCCTTCTCTTGTCCAGGCTGCCCCAGCCCAGCTCTCTCAGCCTGGCTCCAGAGCAGAGCTGCTCCAGCCCTCGCAGCATCTCCATGGCCTCCTCTGGCCTCTCTCCAACAGCTCCACGTCCCTCTTGTGCTGCTGCCCCAGAGCTGGATCAGGGCTGCAGGGGGGTCTCCCCAGAGCACAGCAGAGGGGCAGGATCCCCTCCCTGAGCTGCTGCTCACGCTCTGGGGGTGCAGCCCAGCACATGGCAGGGGTCGGGGCTCAAGCGCTCACTGAAGCCGGGTCATGGGGAGCTGCTCCTCACCCAACACCCCCAAGTCCTCTCCTCAGGGCTGCTCCATCCGGTCTGGGTTTGTAATGCTGCAGATGTTCCAGCTGTGCTGCTCAGGTGCAGATGGCTTTGCAGGGTGTTGCTTCTGTCTTGGTTTACTCTGGGTTTTGGGCTGCCAGGCTGTGAGGAAGAAAGGGCTGACAGGTGTTTTGTGTTGACCCTTATTTCCTTGGCCTGAAAGCTGCGCAGTCCCCAGGACTGACCAGAGCCTGTCAGAGGTGTGCCTTTTCCTGAGTGCAGACACATTCTAGAGCTACTGATTCAGCATTCACATGATGCTTCTCCCCAGAAGCATCCTTCCTGCATAGCTCAGCATTCCTGAATTGGAGTGAATGATGCTAATGTGTGAGAACACCTACTGTATTTTTACTGTCACTTGCCTGATGGGATGTGCCTCCTTTCCTCTGTAGGAGGAAAGTAGTAATCCAAGCTCACTGTTCCTATATTGCTTCTGAATCGACTTCACTGCTTTGCTTGCACAATCACATAGGTCCTGATAGCAGGACAGGAGTGCGACCCTCCACTGGGCAGGAAGGGGTTGTGCTGGGACAGAAAGAGACGCCAGGCTGTGTGACACAGGTGTTGTGAGATGCTGAGCATGATGTGTTCCTCAAGACAGGGCTGGAGCCTTCTTGATGCAGGATGACCTGATCATAAAAGGTTTGGGTCTCCCTGGAACTCATTCCCTCCCTGGGGCTGTCTGAACTGGTCTGTAACTTTCCGGAGGAGTCTGGCAAAGGGAAATGCCTCGGATATATTTGTTTTCCTCTCTTTCCCTTTGATGCCTCTTCCCTAATTGTGGGAGGCTTGTGCAGCTTGGCATTGACCTTCTCTGCTTGGACTGGACCAGTGCTCCCTTGGTGAGTAGGCCTTAATAGGAGGGGAGGGCAGGACCTGTGATAACTCAGTCTGGCAGCCCCAGTCCCATCAGCACTGATGTGATGGAATGGTCTTTGGAGACCCAAAGAGCTTCAGTCAGCTTTTCTTTGTGAAAGGGGTCGTTGTAAAAGGAGTAAAGTAACAACACGGAGGCCTGAAACTCTGGAGGAGGGGACAGAAGCTGAGACAGAAGATGCTAAGGCAAGTTAAGGAAAAGGTTAACATGGTGCCATCCCTGTAATCAGGGCCGATGTTTGTGAATCTGGATCTGATCCTCCTCTTCCTGCCAATGGAACTCCTGCTGGTGCCCAAGTAGTGCCTTGGTGAAATGTGTGTGCTGTGAGCAGGGAGGCCCCAGGTACCGCTGGCCCTGCTGAGGAGCCCCTTAGGAGGAGAGGGACGTCTGTGCAAGGTTGTTTGGGCTCACTTCAGAGCCGGTCCCTGCAGCTGCAGGGGACCACTGATCCCAGGGATCGTGGTTGTTCCTTTGGGAGGTGTGACTTGGGCAGGGGCCTGCTGAGAGCAGCGTGGCTTCACTGGGACAAAGGAATTAAAGAAGAGAAATGGATTTTCCTTCTGCCAAAGATCATACACGTCTGTCTCACCCTGACATCCCACCATGTCCCTGAGCCCCAGGCAGACATCTGAGAGCTGGTTCTGCCTCATTTCCTGCAGCTTGAGACGCTGCCCCATGGCATTCAGTTGGGCTTTGGGTTCCCCGAGTTCAGACCTTGGACTGTGGCCGAAGCATAGCATGGAGCATGTTCTGTGGTGGCACAGGCTGAATGCAGAAACCTCCTGCTTTGTTCTCTCAGTGATGGTGGTGGTGATGTCAAGGTGCCATCCTGCTCGCTGCATAAGGTTTTCATCACCCTCATATTAAGCTAAACCAGCTTCTTAACACAGAGCACATCCCAGGCCCCAGATCTGTCAAACAGATCAGCTGTTCTTGCTGCAGCATGTGGTCGATTAACAAGGAGATGATGAAATGTTGCAAAGTGATCCTTCCCTCATGTCACATCAGCCTGAAATGACACCAGGGTAGGAAGCACCTATAGTTTGTGAGGGGGGTCCCAAGTCTGTGAGAGGGTTACCTCTCTTTCTGTTATTTCTATATCCCCTACAGTGACGAGACAACTTGGTGTCTGACCACGCAGCTCTGTTAGGACGCCTTGTCACCACCATGCATCCGGAGGTCAGTGATCTGCCACTGCTTGGCACACATCCACACCAGGTGTGTTAGAGGGGTCTCTGTTACCCATGTGTTTCCACAGGCTGGAACAGCTCTGGTGTGGGGCTGGCAGAGTGGGAGCCAGGGCTGCAGCTGCCTGGGCAAGGGAACAGCTTCACTCATCGCACCGGAGCTGTCCCCAGTCAAGTGTCTTTTACACCGATTCTTCCCAGTCTTGTGGCATCCCCAAATGAGGCACAGGGGATTACAAAGCAGTCAGCTTTCATTTAAAGCCTGACCTTGGCATCAGGCTGTTAGCATGGCAAGGAAGAGAGATGAGTTAGCTGGCAGCCTGCCTGCGTGTAGCAAGGGCTCTTTAAACCCTCAAAGGATGCATTAGCTTGATGTCAGAGGCTTTGTTTGTGGCATTCCCTGGAAGAACCATCCTCCCTCTGCCTGTGTGTGTGCATGTATCTCTTCCCTGCCTGCATCTCTGATGCTCCCATATCCCGTGTCCGAAGAGCCCAGCTTGACAGCATGGCTAACTCCAGTGAGACAGATGGAGATGGATCCAGGCCTCTGTGGGGACAGCTGCATCCCTGACAGTCCCCTCTGGTCCTGCACCTGTTAGGAACTATACTTAGCATGGGAAAAGTTTCCAGAAAAGGGGAAAAGTGGGAGGCAGAAAGGTTGGGAATTTGGCCTCATTCTCCCCAAGCAGGTCCTGAAGCTCCAGAAATGCCTCTCAGTAACAGCATCCAGAAATGACAATCAGGTGAAAAGCTGGCACAGTTCGGAGACAGCCTGAGCAAGTGACAGCTTCATAACTGCTGGGTGGAATGCCAGGAAGCCTGGTGTGTTTGTCCTGACAGGCCCCAGTGGTCCAGATCACTCTGCAGCTGCCACATGGGAGCTCTGGTAGACACTGAGCGAGGCACGTGCTGGGGGGTCACAGGTTGGGCCTTCGCTGTTGTGCGATGTGAGGCAGTGCAGACTCCGGTGTCCATCACCTATCACCCAGGGCTGTGGCACTACCCCTGGTGCTCCGTGATTCAAACCTACAGTCCTCAGCAGGCTGCCTGCCCGTGCTCCAACCTGTCTGCCATGCTTACAGCCCTCCATCCGCCTGTCCATCATCCCTGTGTGTAACCACCTACCCGCAGAGCTCATGTGCAATGAATGGGGAGGAAATCCTGCTCTCTTTGGTGCTATGCAGGGTTCTCTGCGAGGAGACAAGGCTTTTCAGCTCTTCTTTTGATGAAAGAAGCAGCTGAAGTGAGGTGCCGTGGTCTGATGGTGAGGAAATGTGCCTTGCCCCTCTCTAAGCCCTTCTTGCAGCCAGGGCTCCCTGGGAGCCTTGCAGAGAGGCCGGCTGTGCTGTGGTGTCTCTCCTGAGCACAGCAGCAGATCCAGGTGGGTTTAGGTTTCCTTTTACATTCTTTTCCTTTGGTGAGGGACGAGCTGCATTTCCACCACACGATACTCCCGTTGGCACAGGAGGTTCCCGAGGGGGGTACCTGATGGATGCCCCTCTCTGCTCTGTCACTTGCAATGTGCAGCAGCGGCTGCAGCCTCTTGACACCACCCCTCATCTTCCTCCCCGAGGAGGAGCTCCAGCTCCTTCTCCAGAGGGAGTCCCCTGCTCCAGGCTCCAGCTGGTGAGGACTGAAACTCTATCAGTGCTTCGGAAGTGCAGGAAGCTTCAGAGGAATGGGAATGCAGCAGCTCCCAGATGCCTCCTGTGCAGGGCCCAGCTCCGAGCACCGCTGTCAGCTGGCATTCCCTCCCTGGAAGGCCACTGCTCCGCTCTCAGCTGCTGTCCCACTGCGCACACCCTCTCTGAAACCTGCCCACTGCTCCTGCAGTGGTTGTGGCTACCTGGGCTGTTGCTTAGTGGGGGGATTTGCTGGATTTAGATGGAAAATGCAACAGGAACTTTAAAGTGCTTTGGGGCCAAGCTGAGTTCAGTTTTACAGTCCCTGCCCTGCTGCCCTCTTAGAGAGAAGCAGGAAGACTGTTGTGTTGCCCTTCAGAGCCATTGAGCACTGTGGGTTTTACTAAACATCTTCCCTGAATGATGTTTGTAGTCAGTGTTTTCCTAGCCTCGGGGGGGAGGTCTGGGTGTGAAATCAAGGATGGAAGAGGAAATACAGTGTATGGTGAGGACATCAGCAGCGTCTCCAGCTGGTGGGATACATCCGTGATAACTGGGTGATCTTTAAGGTCCCTTATAACCCAAAGCATTCTATGATTCTGTGGTTCTTAGCTGCCTAACCTACATTTTTGTGGCACTGAAGCAGTTTGCATTTACTGGGCAGCAGATGTGAATAAGGGCATCTTATCCTTTCCAGGCGCTTGAGCCCTGCTGGTTCCTGTGCCTTCTCTGAGGCCACAAAATTGCTTTTTGTGCCATCAGCAGTGGGAAAATGCTTGTCTCCTTTCAGTGGCCACTTGGCAACTTTTTCCTCTCAAGACTGAGAAAATCCTTCTCACATTTCCCAACTCTCTATGTGGTGCGTAGAGAGAATCCTACCTATTGCTGCTTGTGAGTGGGAGAAACAGGAGCTCGTTCCTAATCTCGGTCATGGAGATTGTTTGAATGAAACTGGTAAGTGTGGGATAACTGGATGACCTGTATGTTACATGCCAGGTCCTTAACTTCTCTTCATGTATGCTATGGAAGCTTTCCTAGAACCAGAGGCACTAGCCAGCAAGAAATTGCTTCTCTCCGTGCTCCTTATTGGACTGCATCAAAGTAGAATTAATAAAGAGTTAAAAACCCCACCAAAACCGGGCTTACTGAGGCAGACCAAGTCGTAAACAGCTTTGAGTGTGCCGAGGTCAGGTTTCAGTTGGCCTTCCTGAAAACAGGGGGGTTCTGGCATTGGCCCGTGATTCATTGTGCTGGAACATTCCAGTACAGGGGTTGTTAATGCAGAGAGGGGCTCCTTGTGTGTCGGGTTCCTGCCTCCACGTTTGCTGCGGCAGATCTGTACTGATAGCATTTCTATCAGCATAAGTTATCTGTTTCCAGTTAACCCAGATGAAAGCCAGAGCGTGGTTATTGCATTCTAAGGTTGCTGGAACTTGTTAATAATTCAGAATAATAAAGTCAGTCAAATGAATTCACTTCTAAAATGGAGCTTATTTGCATTGGCTTGTCTTTTTTGGGAGCAGAGCTCTCTGCGGGCATATGTTTGTGTAAGCTTTTTGTATGTGCTCCTGAGTGTTTGTGTGCATACGTAATTTTCTTCACCATCTTAAAACCAAAAGAGGCTGAGCTGGATTTAAATGTTGTACAAGAAAATATAGGTTCTCCCTGCCTGTGAATATATTCAGTGAAGGTCCACCCCGAAGCGAAGCCGAATAGCTATGGTATAAATCCATGGGGAAAAATGGGGTTTGTAATGGAAATGCTCTCTCATTTTAAATTATAGGCATATGTGAAGTTGAAATTCACGCTGCAGCATCCAGACGGTGCCTCAAGCTGGCTGCGCATTCCCAGAAAGGAAGAAACCACACACACCCCCCCAGCCTACCTGCAGAATGACCTTTCTTCTGATGCTGACTTGCAGCTCAGGAGCTTTTGTGCTGTGAGAGGCAGGGTAAGATACATGGGGTGACAGATTGCTGCTGACGGGGAAAGGCTCATTCAGCTGCATTTCTCTGCAGCCCCAGTAATAGATCCAGGGGCTTGTTAGAGGAACAAGAGCAGCAGCCAATAACCAGTTGGTCTAAGCCCTGGAGATAGACCGTATGTCCCACACTCTGTTTCCTAATCTGCGAGCGTGGGGTAAATTCAGCTGCGGTGTCGCCTCTCCCCTGCATGTTACACAGCAAAGAAAGACACCAGGGTATTTGTCTGTCTGTGGCAATGCCTATGTCTATAGAAACTAACGTTTGTAGCTGTGCACTCGTGTGTGTGCATATTGATGTGGCTGTGTATTTATCGTGGGGGAGGCTGGTTGTCGAGCAGTCCAGAAAACGGGAACCCTGTTGTGCAAATTGTGCTTTCTTGGAGGGAAGTTGAGCCAGGAGAGCAGGGGGATGGATTGGCCCTGCACCACGAGGAATAGCCTTTCTGTTTTTCTAAGTCAGAACAATTTGAGGGGAAGGGTCTCCCAAAAGAAGTCCGGTTTCAGGAGAGGCTCAGTTGAATTCCTGGTTCCTGGCTGCCTGCCTGCAGGGCCTCTTGTCACTTCTACTTTCTTCCAACAAGGCAGAAGGCGGAATTGACAGCAGCCTTCCTGCCAGGCTGTTAGAGGCACAGGGAAGCCAGATGCTTTGCATCCCTGCTCCCTCCCTCTGCTGCAGCCCAAGAGCCAGAGGGTGAAGTTGCTGAACTCCTCCATCATTGCTTTCCTGTCTTCCTGCTCTGACCCAGTGGGGATCCTGAGGGATGGAATAGTGCCGGGTATCGGCAGTGCCTGTGCGCGCATGGCTGAGGGGTAGGACATCACATGCAAGGAACTGTTACCCTTTCATACAGGAAAGTTAAATTCCACTTTTGTACAGATGATGCAGAGGGGCTCGCTGGGGAAGTGGGCTAATAGAGGAGCCTCTTCCTTTGCGCAAAACCAGGGCAAGTAGTTGTATAATGCAACTTCAGAGCTTCCATTCCAAATTCACTCCTAAACTCACTCTGAGCCCATGCTGTTGCTGTAACTGCATGTTGGGTACACGGTAGGTGAGAGCTAAAATACTCTTCTGATTTTTTCTGCAAGGACAGTGTGTTCAGCCCTTCTTTTCTTCTTTGTATCAGTACAAAATGTGAGGTTTCAGTTGCTGAATTAACCTTTCTATATGCATCATTTAACTAGATAATTTGCTGACTCCGAAGTTTTTATGTGATCAGATTAGTTGGCTGGTTTAAAATTGTTCAGTGGGAGTTACAGCCATGTGGAGAATGGACCCCTTTACATTTAGGGCAGTACCAGGTTCTCGAGTGTAGTTCTTTGAGACAGGACCTGCTCTGAGTCAGGAGCTGGGCATTTCTCTCACCAACAACTGCAAACTGGGTGACACATTGGTAGTGGATGGCTAGGAAATGAGGGAAGAACTTCTCACAGGGAAAAACTTCTGCCTAAGAGCTCATCTCAGTCTCCCCTCTGGCAGGTTAAAGCCATTCCCCCGTCCTATCCCTACAGGCCCTTCTTGTATTGCTTTTTCTATGCTGTCTCCTCCACTGCTTGGCTTTCTAAGTCAACAGCCTGGTATTTATGTGGGTATCTCCCACAAGGCTCTTACGGCAAAGGTTATTCAAAGCTGCTCTCTCCCTTTCCATGGGGAACTCAAAGCCTTTCTAATCCTCCTAGCCCACCACATGCCCTGCTATCCAGCTAGGAATGCGGTGGCTCCAAGCCACAGCACAGGTCTGTAGATGTGTCCTCTGGGAGAGAAGAAAGCAATAGGAGGGAGACGAGCAGTGAAATCAATGGTTTCATTCAAATCCATACAGTCCTCTTCTCCTGGGGGCTTCTTTAGGTCTTCTCTATGCCCAGAAGTTGTATCACTGCCTATCCAGTGTGTGCTTGTTCACTCCTTCCTTCTGCCACTGATCTCTTGGTCCCTCTGCCTCTTCCCCAGGAAGGCAGGATGATGATGGAGCAGGCAAGCATTGCTGCCCATACAGCCCAGGGCAAACCAGGAGCATCTGTAGCCTGCAGGGAGGCAAAAAGTGTTGCCCAGAGCAGCCTGTGGAAACATTTTAATTACCCCTGGTTAACTGGCACTCAGCTAACTCGAGGGAAAGATCACAAGTGGAGACAAGGTAAGGGGAATTTTCTGCTTGGAGTCAAATTTCAGCAACATTTTTGCAGCAGTTCTTGTTGGGAGGGTTGAACAGCCTCCCCCAGACATCCCCAAATCAAGCCAGGTCTGATGTATATGGCAAGCAAATCACAGTCGTGCAGCCCTAACACAGTACTGTGAGGTGGGTGAACATGGGGCTTATAAAAGAATCAGCCTAAGCCCCGAGGTCTTTCTGAGCAGCTTTATGGCCAGGAGACTTCTTTAACAGCCTGTGAATCCAGAAATGAGATTCAGTTTTGTTTCTCCAGACTTGCCAGTGAGAGAAGAGCTTGTGTCTGCCTGACTGCCTTCAGAGCAAGTCAGCTTTGCCAGCCAAGGCAGATTCTTCTGGCCTGCTTCCAAGAGGCATGAGCTTAAACAACTGGTCTCAGATGGGGTGTCTCCACAGTCTTAGCCATGAAGAGAGGTGATTATTTCTCCCTGATAATTCTGGTTCTCATAAGGAAATCCTCACACACACAGAGCATGCACCTTCCCCTGTGCTGTCAACGTGCTCTGCTGGAAAGATTTATTCCAGTAATAAGGCCTTTGCAGTGAAACTTAACCAAAATGAGGGGGCACGTTTATTAATTATATATTTTACAGTTAATGAAAGATAATATGTAACAGGAGTAATTGCAGGCGCCTGCCTCGCTGGCACAATTCATTGTCAGTAATAAACGTCTGTGTCCCTTTGGTGACTGATCAGTTACAGACACAAACCCTGCCTTGTGCTAAGCCCCTCTGATCTCTTTTCGTTTGCAGATGAAGTGTTTTCCCGTTCAGTGTATACAGAAGAGTCTGGAGCTGAGCTGCTATCTCCCCAACTGTAAAACTACAGTGAAATCCAGAGTCTGTCTTTGTGTTCATCGCCTGCTTTGAGGAAAACAGTGGTCATGAGATCAGACATCAACCTCAGGGTGAGTAGATACCACCCACACCAGCTCTTCCAACACAGTGCAACCTATGTCTGGTTCTCTCTGTGCTTGTCTATCCCTTGCAGCCCTGCTGCAGGCTCTGGTAGGTATACAAGGCATAAACCTGAGTTCTACAGGACTTGAGTATTTCACTGCTCAAGCTGCCTCTTCCCTTTCTGCTGATACACCATGGTGGAGCACTTGTCACTCATCTTGGCTTGTGTTCCAAAACCTGGTCATGGATATACATTAGCCATCCATGTGGTAGCTTGACTGGTTATCAGAGCATAAGCCCCTTTGATACCTGATACAACGGGTGGCTTGTATACCTGGAGTAGAGTGGGAAGGTTTGTTTTGCAGTTTCACTGTGTATGTTATGCTCCTAATATCTTTTAAGCTGGTTGGTAGACTCTACCTCATGTGGGTGTCCACCTCATTACCTTCCTGTACCTGAGGTTCACTACAGAGCCTGTGACACATGGTTGAGTGATTTTTATTCCCTCCACTTGAGGGGAGTATCTTACAACATTTTAAACTGGTCCATTGTGATTGACTCATGCCACCCACTTCTGACATGCAGCCAACAAGGTAAGAGAAGGTTTAGGAGCACTAACAGCATCCAGATCAGTTTAAGACACAAAGTAAACCCAAAAGTTGGTTAAAACATTTCAAACAGGCAAACCCAGCTCTAAACACTGAGCCATCCATGGCAGTGTGACATTCCTTCCTTCTTTTCTTTAGTTCTTTAAAACCTGTTGGTACAGTTGGTTGGTTCTCCCCATGGGGCCCATGCAGTGTGGCAAGTGAAGTCATCATCTGTAACAGGCGTGCCCAGCCCAAGACAACAGTCCTTCTACCTAAGAGGTTGATAGGAACATTTCAAGGAGGTGTTTATCTGATGATATGCCACAGGCATCAGGGTGAGGTCCAGTCTTCCTTCGTGTCTTCATTAATGAGCTGGAAGAGGGGAAAAAACAGCATGTTAATGGTGTCTGGAATGAAGCCAAGAGAGAACAATGCAAAGGGCCTGAGAGGTCACTGGTGCCAGCCCACCAGCAGTGAGTAGGACTGGGTTGTATCTGCCACGGGCTCTCAGCCTGGCTTCAGTATTTGCCGTGGGCTCTCAGTCTTGCTTCACATTGGCCTGATTTTGTGAGTGAAATGCAGAGACTTGGGGCTGGGGCTGGGCAACCAGAGCAGTGGGCTGGGTGTTTGGAAGAGCATCTGTTAAGCTGCAGTGTTGGCTACTCTGCTTTAAGACACAGGATTTCCAAGTCCATCTTGTCAATATTTAAAAGCATGAGCAGCAGAGCCAGCAAACCTGGGTGAAGGTTTGCAAGCACAGAGGGGAGCAGAGTGTGTGTGTGAGCTGCATGTCTCTCTCTCATGTGCTGCTCTCATTATGTGCACATCTTCCAGTGCCTTCCAGAGTGATTCGCATCCAGAGCACTCTGAGAGCCTCTTAGGCATCAATCACATGAATGCTGCAATAGCCCTGCAAGGTCAGGAGGTGTTGTCAGGTGGGGACAAATCTGTGTCTTTGTGGTGTTCCTCAGAGCAGCAGTTTGTGCCTCAGCAAGGAGAGGGGTGGGGACTCCTGCAAGTGTGTGCACGCTTGCTACAACCAGAGCTTTCTGATTCCTACAGCCAGGGGTGGGATCCAGGTCTCCCGAACCCCTGTTCTCTGCCTTGACCACTAGAAGCACTTCCTCCCCACAGAAACCTCACCATGAAACCACCCACAGGAGAAGGGCTTTGTTGCTTGGCAGGAGAGCAGCGGCGCTGCTCTGCCCAATCCGCAGGCACATTTTTGGGGGTTGTGTGTTTACAACATCTTGGCTTTGCTGGTCTGGAGAGAAGAAAAGTTGATTGTTCCCCAGCCAGGGAGCGGCGTCTCCCTGCCTGTACGTGTAAATAGCTCTGGAGAGCCATACCAGGCCATGGGGAATGTCTGTGGTGCAGCAGCCTGCTTGGATTAGAAGCCTTGTCTCTTCTGTGGTAAACATGTCTCTTGTTACCTGTTCTCACTGAAGTTTTTCTGGCTTCTCCTATCCTTTGCTCGGCCACTTTGGCTTCAGGGCCTCGTGATAGCTGGAGTGATTTATTTATTCAATAATAAAGCTTAAAGAACTGGTTCTTTTCCAGATTGCTCTGTCCCAGGCAGTGGCTGTCTCTGAGGAGCTGGGTCATGATGGGGTTAGTGTGGAGGGAAGCAGGGCTGCTTGTGAGCCTCAGCTTTGCCAACCCACTGATCCTTCTGCCTCTCAGCCTTCTCCCCCTGCATCCTGAACTGGCAGGAAAACTGTGCAGGCTGTCCAGGCATTCCCAGGTCTGTCTCTCATTTTAAATGGTTCCAGTGGGAGTCCAGCATGAGTCTTGGGGTTGTGAAGTTGAATTGCTTCTTCCATTCTCCAAACCAGCATAGCACACAATACTGAGATTGTGCAAGGAGAACCATAATGGGAGAGACCTGAGCATCGTAGGGAGAAGACAGGCAGGGAGCAGGCAGGAAAGGGAAGAGGGAATGGTTATGGTGGAAGTGAATACTTGATTGGAGATAGCAGGAAGGAAGGGAGGAAGGAAGAAAAGACCTTACTCTGGCCAAAGTAAAGGGAAAGACTGGCTGAGGCTGTAGAGCTTCAGTGGCCTTATCCCATCTTCTGTGAGGGCTGGTGACATCCTTCCCCTAGGGGTTAGTGTTGTCTGTTTATTCACATGGCTGGGAGGTGACTGCAGTCTTTGGGATGATGGATTGGTAAGTGTGTTGAAACAGAAGTTAGAGGTCTGTTCTCTGGAATCCAATCTGAGGCATCTCCAGGTCCTAATCTGAAGGTAGTTGACCCCTGGCTGGTGTGGGAAGGGGTTTCCCCAGCTTCACACATGGTACTGACAGGTCTGATGTGCCATTTTGCTGCTTTAGAAGACTTGACTTTATTCAGGTTCCTAAAATCCTGAGCTCTGTGATAGTTGCAGGATAGCAGGGCCTTGAGCAGAGCTCAAGTGAGCTGGTTCCTCACTGCTGTTTTCCTGCCTGTGGGGTTTACAGCTGGATAATGAAATCCACTTCCCAGCACTCTCTGACCTTGGCGTTTGGAGAGTGTTCAGGGACATCTTAAAGACTTCACATTTCAGGAGGCAGAAGCCTGCCACAGCTCACTCTGTGCCTCAGCTCTTTCCCTGCAGGTTTGGCCCTTGCTTTCAGAGGATTCTGTATCTTCACACTGCTTCTGCTCATGGAACAGATAACACTGAGATGGTTTCACACAGTAGTGACAGAATGAAAAAGTAGAGGTAATCAGGCCCCAAAATAATGCTGTTTATCATCTATAATCATCACACGGGGTCTAACAGCACATAAGTGGCTGCTTTCAGGAGCACAGAATGCAGGCAGTGTTGTTGGATTCAGTGATTATTTAGAAGGCCACTAGCCAGGCACTGTGTGTGGGGATTCTCTGGGTGCAGGCACACCTCTTGATCACATACATGCAAACAGGGGCATATCCAGTGCTGAGCCCATGTCTGTGCACATGTTAGTGGGTGCAGTTTCCAGAGTCAGGCTGTGGAAACAACAGCTCAGCCTCTTTCTTAGTGATCCCAGGGATTTGGAAGGTATAATCTGGAAGAGCTGCTTGAACCCCTCTCCATGGAAGGGATTATTCCAAGAGAACTCTCTGATGTTTCCTCTTGTGGCTCTGGCTGCTCCTCCCTAGTTTCATGCCAGTCCTGAAATACATAGCCCTGAACAAGGACTTCAGGATCGAGTTTCCTGCTGGCAGAACTCTCCTCTCCTCCACCACACTGCTGCACAGTCTCAGGGTCCAGGCAAATTCAAGTGCTCTGAGTTCAGAAGAGGTCCTGAAAACATTTGCAAGCAACAAACCCCATCATTCTTGCACCCATATCCCTGCAGCTTAGTCCTCGCTCTCCACGTGCTGCACTTTTAGGGAGAGCTAAGCTTTGCAGTGAGGGAGAAAAAGCCAAAGAAAGCCTTGGCCAAACTGAGCACAATTACTGCATTTAGCCATTTGGTGGAAGCTCTTAGTAATAGTCTGTTTGGAAGTAAAAGTCTTAGAGCTGAGAGCACAGGAAGCGTTTAAGCCTGATTTGTATGTGTAGGGGAATTGGTTGGAGTTTCACAAAAGAGATGAAGTCAGGCACTTCATCTCTTCAGCAAAACATCTGAGATGCTGCACATTTACTTGCTCTGATGTTGGGAATTGTAAAGGAGCTTTCTAAATCCCTTGTTTTCAATGATGGTCTCCAGATGAGGGTATAAAATCCCACCTTACAGGATCCCAATCCAGAAGTGTCTCTATGTGTAGAGGAGGGATATTTCTCATCCTCTCAGTGTCGATGGGAACTGGTGTTTCTCCTGCAGACACCACCCCACTGCCAAGAGCTCTGCTTCATAAGACTCTTGTGAACTACTTTCAACCCTTGAAGAGGGTTTTCTAGACCCAAACATTGATGTAAGTGCATTCTTACTATCATTCAAATGCAAACCAATCAGCATTTCACTCCAGCACCTCAATTTTCCTGCAGATTGTTTTTGCCTCTCCTTTTGGCTGATCTGTGAGCCCTTGGGAATGCTGTCAAGAGGGGAGCTGTTCTTCTGGATCTAAA